GAGAACACGTGTATCTACTAGCGTATCATACATATGTATACTCGAATTTATATGCACGAGTGCTCTATTCAACACATGCATACCCAGAAGCTCATATATATTTGCATATCTATTGCATCCTATGTTATATTTACAATGCACATTTTGTTTCCTACTTTTTCGTTGAACTCATAAATTTTGTAGCGTTGCTGACGCGACCGCAACTGCTTCATCAACATTGCACTCATAACCGTTATCTGGCAATGTACATACGTACATAGATACATATAACCGATATCCTATTGCAAGTGCATAAATATGTTGGTGTATTCAACGTCCGAAAGCAAAAATATCTACAAATGCATGCATGTGTTATATGGCTTTCGTAGTTACAAACTCAAACTTCGCTGCAAAACTGGAATCGAATTCGACTTTGGTTTATTTGGCAACTTTGCAGTTGATTTGTCATAACTGCAGGCTTTTTAGTTGCAATATACTCGGCGAAGGGGTTCGAATACGCCAAGGATATCATTTGCACTCCTCACATTATACTCCCGCGGTGGCGAGTAATTCAGTTCATAAATCTTTCGTGGTGTGCACTACATATACACGTAAATGTGACTAGATAAGCCAATAATTATACCTCACACTACTTCTGAAGTAAACAGGTGTGTACAAGTGAAATGGTAGTAGTGAGCAAAGAGGCCTTCGTGTATCGAATATTTTTTTTTATTTAGCAGTAATAAATTTACGAAAATTTACTGGGATTAGTTGGACATTAGTTTATGTATTCGAATGTGAAATTAATTATTTATGTGTGCGAAGCTGCAATATACTAGGGGATTAACAAAAGTTAATTATTATAATAATTATATATTATAATTCATTAATAATCTTTGTGCTTTTTAATCATCTCCACATAATCGCCATTGATTTCAGTTCATTTATTAAGCCTATAGATCCATTTCTGAAAACAGTCTCCGAAATCTTGCTTTTTAAGCTTATCAAGTTCAGCATTTAATGCATTAATTATCTCCTCTTTGCTTTTAAAGACCTTTTCTTTTAATTTTTTTTCCGTTTTGGAAATAACCTAAAGTCACAAGGTTCTATATCCGTGGAATAAGGTGCTGACCGACCCAGAGACACGAATAAAATTACTCGTCCTTTCAGCAGTGTTAGATGTCACATTGTCATGAAGTAAAAAGCATCAACAACATTTTGAAAACATTTGTTAAGTACTCTTCTGTGCACCATTTAGCAGTTACCGTCTGAGCTTTTTCCAGTGAAATAGCAACAACGATTTTAGATCGGGTGAAGTAAACTGCATCATTACTTTTGCTGCTGATTTTTGTTGTTTAAATTTACGGCTGGGTTTTCTCCTGTAGGGCTCCATACCATGGACTTCTGGGTGATTTCTAGATGCATCACCGGTAGCGACTTTACTAAAGTTGCTAGACTGACCATTTTCGAATTTGTTAACGAAAAATTAAACAAATTAATAATCGAGCCTCTTTTTGGGCCTCACTTCATATTCGTGGTACCCATCGAGCAAACTTCTTCGTATATCCCAGATGATTACTTAATATTCGCAATACAGCCAACATTAATAATAATTTCTACTGAAATCATTAGTGGATCGACCTTCTCGGGGCTCGTCCTTTGCAGAAAAACGTCAGCTCTGGAGTCTTCGAAACTACTTAGAAATAGTCTTTAAAGGCGGTACAATTGTTTTATATGCGTTTTGGTATTCACTGAATATTTCTAATGGTTGTAGATAACGCCGAAACCTGAAGAAAATTACAAGGCGAATTCCTTTTTGCGTTGGTGGTGGAATTTCGTCTGACCTATTCTCAGCTATCTTTCGTTTTCTCGTCTCCATTTTAGTAGATCGTTCCAAAATTTGTGAGGAAGACTAATAAAGTAATTACAAAGCATCTGGTATATTTAGATTTAACAAAAACAAATTGAAAGTGACCAACTGAACGAACTTTTGTTAATCCCTCGTATATTAAATTAAGGTATAAAGTTTGGGACTTAAGAGCTTAAATTATTCCAGATTATTAAATTTATATTATTAACACTAAAACTTCAGTGGATGAGCAGCTGGCCCGCTTCATCGTTCATTTTGATTCCTTTATCCGATATAACATTTGGATCGACGGCATAGCGGCAAATGTAGACTATAAGTGGAATTCAGAAATTTTTCGCTTGCACCAACGAAAGGGTTCTCCAATAAGAGGTGTTATTTTGGATAACCTGCTATATCGGTAGATGTCACTTTTCAAACTGCAATCTTTTTAAATTTGACAATTAAAAAGAACGCTTGTAATGAAAATGCAGCGAAACACGTCAACAATGCATTAAAATTCACTATAGAAATGGTGAAAACCTGACAAAGACAGTAAAGGTAAAACAGGCACCCTGTCAGACCGCAACATAGAAATTGTTGGGAAAAATGGAGCTGTTGGGACAAGTTTTCGATATGAAGGAGAAACACGTGCACGTCGTTCAAGAAAAATTGAGAGTATTGCTGCTGTAGCCTAAAGTGTAGAAGAAAAGTCAGGTTCATCCATTTCTCGTCCATCTTCGGAACTGGACAGTCTACAAACGTTTTTTCACCATATTATGTACAGAGACTTGGGTCTTAAGGCTCTTACTGTTCAGAACTAAAGAACTCAAGCCAGCCGGGGCCATACACGACGTGTATTCTTTGCTGATTGGGTTCATGAACCGCTTGAAAATGATATGATGATGCCCGATTCCACCACGATGGCAACGTCAATAAGCGAAAATGTGGTATCTGGAATTGAATAGCCTCTGCAGCCGCTGCAACGTGTATCTGTTTGATGAGGTTTATATGCCAGCGGGATCATTAGACCACAATTTTTCGAGAACGTATACATAGATTGCGCTCTCACGAAATTAATAATGATTTGTTATGGCCGGAACATGGTGATTTTGATCTGGGTTCTTCCATTGGCTCCACGCGAAAAATTAGATCTACGCCAATAGGAAAGCGTCGATTCAAGTCTTCGAAGATGGAGTTCTTGAAACTATTGTGGGCATACAAGCGTCGCTTTGCGATTTCTTAACGGAAAATTTAACTTTTGTGTAAGCTGACACTATAAGTTCCATCACAATGAGAAAGGACTCTTCAAACAATTCAGTTACAAACAGGAGTATACCCATGACTTCATCCACGTGGAATTTGAAAATAAATTTAATGGATTTTTAAGACATCTATCTTATAGTAATATGATACATAAATTATTATATGGAATGTTTTAACACTTATAAGGTATAACACAACAATTTTTGTTATGCTACTGAAGTAAACAAGAAAACACTCAGAGTCGTACACTTATTCCGGTATTCCCCTGTAGACAATCATTCTGTGTTTTTTGTGGGGCGCTAGAATTACTAGGCAACTTTATGAACTTACTTAATTTGATGGAATCATTAGCATCAATAAAACATTGTCCATGAAAACAACCTGGATACTATGCTATCCCCAATTACATTTCTTTCAGCTGTAGTCTTGCACCATTGCATAATTTTGGTTTATTTCTACTTCGCAGTAGCGTAACTGGCGCAACAACTTTTATTTTAATTTTGTGAGTTGGGAAACCTAGAGGCTTTAATGTAGCCAGTAACACCACCAAATCTCTATGCTTTAGTTAGCACTGAGAGCCGCAAATGAGATCATTTCACACATGGTTTAACTTCCTCCGTTCACGTTTCCCTGGGCACTGCTGGTAAGCCTGCTTGAAATCGTGTGCTGAAATAATACAGTAACTGCTCACAAAGCGTGGCAGCGTGCTAACACAGGATGTCTCACTTTGACCAACAATAAACTTATATTTTGTTATATAGCATTCGCTACTTGGCACCATTTCTGCTAAGGAATTGGTATACTAACTGTCCCCAATGCTACGTCTATACCAAATAGAATAAATGGAATAAAGTCCAGGCCTAGTCTCGGAGGAAAAATGTGGCCCACAACAACCGTTCTATCAAATTTTATTTGATTCAAATAATAACTAACCATTTTACAGTTGAAATAGACTGGCCCTCTCTCCAAGAATCCGTTTTATAGTTAGGATGTGAGTTGATTCGCTAGTCAGTCAGGATAGAAGATAAGGCTTTAGACAATGTCACACAATGCCGCGTTAATTCGTCAACATAATGCTACAGAAAGTAATACGTTGGATAGAGCTACATAGAGAATGATTAATTTTCTATAAGAACATATACAATACAACTTTAGTTCTGCTCTTTTTAGACTGCATAAAGAAACATACTCGTTTTGGCTGGTACGTCCTGAACATAGATATCAGTATTGTAACTTTTTGCATATAACCTTGATTGGTTTGTTACTCTTTTTGGTATGGTACACTAATTTTTTTCCTAGAATTGAAATATCTCTTTTCATTTAGTTGCATAACTCAAACTCTAAGCCTAAGAGTTAATTTATTCCACTCCATTCTTTGTTTTATCTAACAAAACTTTATTTTTAAAATATTTCTAATATACATTTCATTCTTATACCACTTCCATACTATTTTCAATATTTTATTTGTTTTTAGAAAGTTATACGTGAAGTTCTCTTTTTGCCTCTACTCATATGGTGTGTTTTCATTTACATCAAGTCTCTTTCGCTGTTTGTTATTCTTTAGTTTTACCACTGTTTACTTACTCAACTAACTTTTTTATTTGCTTGAAACATTGAAATTTTATAGTTTTTATTCTTAATTTTTTTTACCCTTTGTTGTTAAGAAAAAACTTTTTTATTTTTATTTTGTTCAGCTCATAGCTCAAGAGGCATATTTGCAAAGGATAGACAATTTACTGTTTATGGTAATACATGGCGTATGAGTAATATTATTTTATAGCAATGGCCTAGGCTGTCATAACTCTAAATATTTATTAGCTAATATGGTGCATACAAAATATGTATAATATTTTTACCTACGTGTCTTGGGAAATAAATTTAAATTTTTTAAAATTTCTTTTCCTTTTAGGTCCAGCCTTTTGGGGTCTCATTAACCCAGAATGGTCACTCTGTAATAAAGGACGCCGACAATCACCAGTGAATCTCGAGCCACATCGCTTATTATTCGATCCGAATCTGAGACCATTACACATCGATAAACATAGAGTAAAACAAATGAAAAGAATTTTATTTTTAAAAAAGTGAATCACTTTCATTTTCCAGATAAGTGGTTTAATTAGCAACACGGGACATAGTGTCATATTCACTGCCGGCAATGAGACAGTGGCGAATTATGACGGCATGCAAACTCCAGTTAACATATCCGGTGGACCGTTATCGTATAGCTATCGCTTCCACGAAATACACATACACTACGGACTGCACGATCAGTTCGGCTCAGAGCACAGTGTGGACGGATATACATTTCCAGCGGAAGTGAGTACAGCAAATATTGATTTATTAGATACGCAGTGTTAAATTTTAGTCAACTGGAGTAATTTTCTTTCTCAACGGAAATATGATTTTGTGGGCCACTGAAGGATTCCACTAGGAATTAATAAGGTGCTTCGATGGCATATATAGTTTAAGTAGGGGCTTGAGTAAGTCGATGGTGAAAACGATAATTATTGCCTTTTTTGATAACAGTGGAATCGTCCACCAGGATTTTCTTTACTGGGACAAACCATATATCAGTTCTACTACCGCCAATTACTCGAAAGATTCGAAGACGAATCAGCAGAGTGCGCCCAGACATCGCTCGTAACTGGATCTTTCATCTCGAGAACGCACGGTGGGTTTAACTACAACGTTCCATGAATATGGAACTCTTTGAAATGGACCAACCTACTTACCGTAAAACATGGAAACAATCTAGAAATTTTTAAGTAATCGGTCGAGAACTTTTGGAGACTACCGTATCTTTACAAACGCGCTTAATATTTATATATATACATATGTATAGGCTGTCGAAATGGCCTCTAGTTTGGCCAACATATAAAATAATACAAAATTTATTTTTCTGCCCCTGCCCTTCGGCAGGGAATTTCAACTCCTCCGAATATATTTCTAATAAAGTCTATTCATAATAATTCGAAGGTGGCTTAAAAAAACTGTAGGTCCCTCCATTCCTTGAAACTTCAATTTCATTGGTTTCTTGACTTTGGAAAGTTCTTCTTACCTAGTGGGTACATAGTTACAGAAAACATATAAAATAAAAAATATATATACCACCCACATAAACTAGTATGGTTTAAAAAATATATAGCAGAGTACCTAACATTTGGTTCCACTATAACTTAGTTTTGTTTTTTTTTTTAGTTAGATAAGGTTATGGTGGCTACAGATCTGCTGAATCACATTCACTTAGGCCTGATTAAGATCCATTATGATGCCACTAACCTCATTAGATCAATGACGTTGACAGCGACTATCTTCGATAGACTGCCCAGTAGTAGGGTTCCATAATTTCTGACACCTAGCCCTGCCAAAACAAAATCATAAGAGGTGCGTCATAGTATCTTCTTTCACATCCTCCTTGCAGCATCTTTTTTAGGGAGTCCTCTTATACTTATACTGTAAGAACTCGTACTACTCTTTAAGGAGAACAAGTATAAGAGCGCTTGGATTTACAGCAGTTTGTAGCATCATTCAACCTTTTTGGGTTGCTTATAGAGAAGAATCTGCTTGGTTCCACCTTTTCAGCAAGTACATCCACCTTACAGTTTCCCTCAATATCCGTATGACCAGATATTCACGTGAGGGACAGTCGGTTCTATTTGGCCATCTCCAGTGGAGTTCGACGGTAATCCAGCATTAATTTGGAATTTAACGCAAGCGAGACCAGCTCTTTTATTGCTCCCTGACTGTAGCTGAAAATGGACATAACCTTACGTTTCATAGCCTCACTTGGCGTCGTCCTTGGTGCACCAATGCTACACGTGAACGCACATCTCTGAATTTTTACTATGAACTTGGCATTTGAAGCATTATTTACAGCTAGCTACTACGCAATCGCACCGTAAAGGAGGGTTGATCTTTTTACGAAAACGTAAATCCATCGGAAAATGCTGGGGCCAAGATCTCATATCTTACCTATTGCTCTTTTGTATGTTTAGAGGCCAGAAGCAGGCTTCTCTTATGTTTGGATAATATTATCTTTCCAGCTAAGTTAGCTAAGGTAAGAAGGTCTCCTAGAATTCGGCTGAGTTGAACGCCGCACCGTACTGGTGAGTTGATAGCGGGGATTTTACTTCCTTCCTGTTTTGGTTATTTTTTAAAGATCTTGTAAATTGTATTTGTACATAAAAACTGCTAGTAGGGCAACCGAGCACACGCAAGATTTGTTAAGATCCTTTGATCGAACCAAACTACTTGGTCAGTTTACCTAAATATATTGAAAACTCTTGCTTCCATGCAATCTTTTCAAGCTAAGCATTGAATCAATGAATGATTAAAACTTGGGACCATTATTTTTGAACTTAAGTGGACTTAATATGAGGGAAAATCAATTAAAGGATTTGCGTATCTTAAGGAATTACAACATCACTTTTCTGACCATTTGAAAGCTCTAAAGAACGATTAACAAAATCATTTCATTCAAATTGTTCTACATTGAAACTTAAAAAAAAATTTACATTTATTGTAAACAGAAACTGGATAGAATTCAAATCATTTTATATTTAACAGAAAAAAAAAATTATTAAGATGTAATGCTTTACGCAATTTAATGGCTCACTTTCCCTACTACTATACGTACTAAAAAAATATTTTTAAAAATTTCAGAATTTTTAGACACTTCATTTTTGCTTCGACCTTAGGTACCAAAGTACAGTAAGTATAAAAGTACAGTTTACGCAGGCACATATTTATATGTGTCACTAATTTAAAAATAAAATAAAAAATAATTATGACAAGAAGGCAGAACAAACAAGACATCAAACGCACTCCTACTTTTCAACTGCATAAATCTATGTAAATATGTACATATATATATATATATATACACTCATATGTGTAACCTACATATTGAATAAGACGCGTGCAGCGATATGAAAAAATGTAAACATTACAAAGGTTGTGTCATTTCGCCAAATTCAATTGTTCACTTTATCAACGACATTTGTTTGCTAAGTGACATACAAATACTAGCAAATCCACACATGCTTGCGAACGAAAGCCCCGCAGTGAAATGAACCAGTCAACAATTGCTTCGAAACTAGTATGCCAAGCAAGGCCAACTAGTCAGGCAAATTGTCTATATTTCATACAAGCAACTGGTATTTCTATTAATTTTTATTATTATATTTTTTTTTGGTTTTTGATATCAGTTATACCAATAACATACAGGCTTAAAGGGGCAAAATAACCAAAATTTTATTAATATAATGCAAATTATCTAAAATGAAATGGAAATGAAATAATAATAATAGATTGTAAATATTCAGTTGGATGACATCATGTCTCTTCGATTGGAACTAAGTATGCCCACAGTCTGCCCCAATTGCCGTGGGATAACTGAACTTCTTATATAAGAATCTCGTCGATCATATGGTGTGAAGGATTAAAGCCCATCGTCAACAAACTGATTGGACCTTATCAGCGTGGCTTTAGACCTGGTAAATCCATGTTTGAGCAGATGTTCAATAAGCGCTAAGCCTTCAAAAATACCCATGAGAAAGAAATCGTTACACATCATCTTTTTATCGATTTTAAACCTGCCGTTGAATTTGGAAACCTTCACCTGGAGAAAATAATACGAGCTTCAGAGCTGAATAGAGAAGATAAAGATGCTTCTTTAAGGGCTATAGGAAAGCTTAAAAAAAAAATATCCATCCATCCATCTTTATTAAAATCGATATTACGGTCTATATAATTTAATGTTTGAAGATTATTTCATGCAAATATTGACCGTGACTGCACCACAAATGGTCCATCACTTAGTCTAATTTTGGCATACTCTTTCCAACACTTCGGCCGGTATAGAATAAATGCATCAATGTTGACCTCCAGTGCGATAATTGAAGCGGGCTTGTCTGTATAGACATTAGATTTATCATAGCCCCACAAAAATAGTCTAAAGGCGTTAAATCGCACGATCTAGGCGGCCAATGGATCGGTACCGAACGAGAAATAAAATGTTCACCGAATTCGCCTCTTAATAAGACCATTATTACGCGTGCTGCGTGGCATGTGGCACTGTTTTGTTGAAACCACATGTCATGCAAGTCAAGCTCTTGCATTTTGGGCAAACAAAAGTTTTATATCAACTCACGGTAGCGCTCACCATTCTCAGTTACGTTACGATTCGCATCATCTGTGAGGAAGTACGGTCCAACGATGTCTTCAGCCCTTAAAAAGCACCAAACTGTGACCTTTTCTGGATGCTTTGGTAGCTCTTGCAACGCTTCTGGCTGATCTGCCTTCCAAAATCAGAAAGACAATTCTGGCTATTTACGCACCCATTAATTCAAAAATGAGATTCGAAGCGCGTGCGGAAGAAGTGCGCGATGAACTTTCTTAACAGAGCACGCATTTGGATGATAAAATTCAATGATTTCCAAGTGTTGTTCGTTTTTAAGACGATTCATGGTTGCATTATAGACCAAACTGAAAAGGTTTGACTGTGATACAAAACACGAAACGTGCGTCAGCTATTCAAACCAGTGTTGCCAAAAAGATAATAGCTAAAAAATCACCCTTTAAATATTCGGCCAACCGCTATGTTTGAAATAAATTACTTGAGATGAACTAGTGCATTTTCAGTCTTAAAGTGAGTACTTTTCTGAAAAATTTTTCACTTACGGATATTTCCAAATACATACATACCAGCAGAGTTGTCATATTTTGAAGTCATATTGACAAACAAAGTACTACACATACATTTTCAACCGCATTAGAGTGATACAATTGTGGAAAGAAATCTTTTGAAAGAAAATGGGCCACCTAAAAGACTTTCTCTCTTTTGCTCACACGGATATATGTGTAAGGAACTGATATAATATAATATTATACAGTCGAAGGCTTCTTCTTACGAACCTTTGGCGATCAATTTTTTATTGAAGAAAACTGCTTAAATTACAAAGTAGCTGGTAAAAGATCTTTTGGCAATACTTTTAGATAGCAGGTTTGAAAAAATAAAATGCTTTTCGACTGCCTTGCATTCTCCTGTATAAAATGTTCTTTAGGATCACCTTATTTCGCTTGCGAACATACAAATATGTATAAACGCAAAACCTCGTATGGACGTGGGAGACATATCTTCTTCTTTTTTTTTTCTTTGAATCAAAGTAACTAAACATGCCTTCACGATTTCAATGCCAATTCAAACTTGAATTGGTCCTTTGTCGACACTTGCCAGCACGAAAATCATTTTTTGACATTTGCCACACAAGTGCACTTATCCACGCATTTCAGCTCTTATATACACACATACATAC